TCTCAGCTCACTGCAACCTCCGCCTCCCAGGTTCAAGCAATTCTCCTGCCTCAGCCTCCTGAGTAGCTGGGACTACAGGCATGCACCACCATGCCCAGCTAATTTTTGTATTTTTCGGTAGAGATGGGGTTTCACCATGTTGGCCAGGATAGTCTCAATATCTTGACCTCTTGATCTGCCCGCCTCAGCCTCCCAAAGTGCTGGGATTACAGGAGTGAGCCAACCAGCCCGGCTGGGGAGAGAGTTCTAAGGAGATAATCAGTAGTGAATTCATAGTGGTGAGGTTAAGTAAAGTGATGACTTAAAAGTATCCTTGAATTTGATCATTAAAAGGTCAGTGGCATCCACCCTGCATTCTGTTGAGTCACAAAAATGTTTCATGTGTGTTCTCATGGCTAAAGAAACATAGGATTTAGGTCTGGATGAAACCTCTGTCTCACACACACACACCACCACCACCACCCACACACACATACACACAAACACACACACACACACACACACACACCCCACCCCCCCCTCCTTATTTTATGGATGAAGGCAGCAAGGCCCAGAGAAGTTATATGTCTTCTGGCAATCACACAGCTAGATACAGGCAGAGCAGGAACTAGAAGTTGTATCTCAAAATCTTCATCCAGTACTCAGCCCACCATTTATTGTAAATGCAGTTTCGGAGGTCTTGATTATCTGATTTTTCATCTGACAGCAGATTAGCAGCATCAAATTGGGGGTGTGATAAAGGCAGGCTCACTGACAGCAGTAAAAAGTGACAACTGACTGACAGCTTGACAACAAGGGAGGAGAGAAATAAACCATTTTGAAAAAAAATATATGGGAAGTTAAAAAAACATAGCAGCCTGGAGCCATTCTATGGCAGGGCAGGCAACTCTGCACATCAGATAACCCCTGCAGACATTTCTCCATGATTGTACAGCTTGTACATCAAAAGGATAACTGTGATTTATTAAGAGAGATTAAATGGTAACTAGTAAGTTTCATTTTAAGAATGTAGGAAAGTGCATAATCCACTTTTGGCAGAAATTATAAATGACAGCAAATGGAGTTAAACATTATACCTTACTCTAAGATGTGCATGAGCTCTGTTCCCCTAAAGGAAGACAATAAACATCTAAAGCCTTGCTTGTGCAGTTGTAATATCCTTCAGTTTTGTATGACCAGGAGACTTGTTATTAAGCTATCTTTTTTAGGTCTCCCTGATTAGAGCTTTGCCATTGACCAAATTTCCCTTTTCTGCTGGCTTCTTCCATACTGAAGGCTTCCAGGCCTGCAAGATGATTGGTGGTCAACAAAGCAGATTTTGTAATATTAATATCAGAAGATAAATATGATCCTGAGTCTTGGTAGATGAGAATTACTACTGTAATATATTGCAAAACACTATTTTATGATAAAGGATATAGATGAGATTGGCAATTTGGCAGTTTTGCTGTGTGTTTCAAGAAGACAAATTTCCTGTGGAATTCCATGGTGCTGAGTTTGTGATGGAGACGCAGAGAAAAAAGGGAGTAATCTTGCAACCTACTAAACTAGATGCTAGAGGAAGCCAGTATTTTCCTACTCTAGATCACATAATTGTCATAAAGACTAGGCCTAGCAGAAGTAGGGAAATCTTAAATATCCAGACCTTTCTGCAAGTCTCAGTCTTATGAAAACAGAACATTAGAAGAATTTGTTGCCTCTCTCTTTCTCTTTCTTTCTTTCTTTCTTTCTTTCTTTCTTTCTTTCTTTCTTTCTTTCTTT